GCAAAAAAAAAGGTCTAGGACTGAATTGACACAATTACAATTGGCTTAAGACTTTTTTGGTAATTTCCCTACAATTAATTAGCACATATCTCAATTGGAGGAAAAGCACGACCATTAGAACAAACGTCTATGCATGAACTAACCCTTTATCAACATCGATTGATGAAACTTCGAATATATATACAAAACTATGCATCTCCCTTGACAAATACCATGAGCCCCAATACATGTTACGAATTTCCATTTGTTGGAATCTTGAAAAACCAAGAAAAGCAAAAGAATTAGAACAAGCATTATCCAGAAAAAGAAGAAGAGATGAAGCAAATCTTAGCGACCTTGAAAGAGACGGACCACAACGCCAGATGGTGGCCACTTCCCACTTGTACACGACATTTTGGTAATTTATGAAATTTGTATTCTGGAGACACGTCGGACGCACTAAGGTTTCTTTTGTCTTTAATCTATGAAAAGGCGACGAGACACGCTTTTCGCAGGTGTGCCGTACCGGTTTTTCATTAGAATAATCTTTATGATATTTAGCCCTCGAGAATCATATGAACCATTAAGATATGTGAATTGGCTTTGAACATTTAATTATATGTTAGGTTCCTCTTTTGGATATTGCAAAAACATTAGTCCTATTAAACAAATTGCTGATCATAGAAGGGGAAAAGATACTCTTATGAAGTTACAACATAGAATATTAAGGTTTTATTAACAAAGAATGATCTTACGAACCTTCGATTCAACATCACGTGTGATGTCCCTCCTTTTGTGTGTGTGTGTGTGTTAAGTCGACAAAACGTACGATATGCATAAAACTGTCTAAGTTCAAATCAAGAAGTATTTTTCCGGCTCGGAATGAATGTTTCACTGTTCGATTACCGATCTTCACATATATATTCTTTACAAACCAATTATGAATCGCTCATAAGTAATAGATACCAAAAAAGTGTTAAACCTATTATATGGATATCAATTCAATCCTAAAGTTTTCAACTTGGTCAATTTAGTCCTAAACATTTTGATGATTTGCTAGTATAATCCTTTCGGCCAAATTAGCCGGGAATCGCTGACGTGGTGATCCAATCAACAACGGCCGTCCTACATGGCACGGTTAGCATTAACGTGGATGATTTTTATAATTTTTTATAATTTTGAATTTTTTTCCCCTTTTGTCTTCTTTCGCTATTTCCCTCCGCCAATCGTCGGGCCTCAGCGATCGATGATGGCTGACGGAGGTCACCAATCACAGGCAAGGGCGTGGAGGCCTTGGCCTGTGACCGACAAGGGTCGCCAGCCGTCACCGGGGCCATGGCAACATGCCGGTCCGAAATCCAATAATGAAAGAAAGAAAAAGAAAAAGAAATTTAGAAGAACAGAAATTTAGAGAATTTCCTAAAACTGCATCTGAGCAATGTGTGCGCTTTTGATATTTGAGCAAAAAACAAAAGTGATTTTGTGCATTTTTAAGGTGAAAATCTAAATAGATAGGTTGGCGAAGAAAGGGGAGTACTAAATAGCCGTTCTACGGATGAATTATGGGGCTCTCTTGCTGGCCCTAAAGCATTGATGGGAAAGAAGGGTCACCTCTAAATGGCTAGACATTGCTTCTTCCTTCCATTAGAGGTGAGATTTTAATTTACCCTAATCTACCTTGTGGTTTTAGATCTATATTTAAGCTCCGTTTATTTTGTGGAAAAATAAATAATTTAAAAAATATTTTTTTAAAAATGATTACTTATATCGCTCGAAATAATTAACCAAGAAAACATGTTTTCATTACCGACAACAATTTATGTCTAAATATTTTTATGGGCTATGAAAAAAAATTTCGTTCATTCGTTTTTGCGAGCAATATAAGCGATCGTTTTTTCATTCATTTTTCGCGAAACAAACATAACATTAGTGATGAATTCATTACCTGAATTGTACGTGTGAACATAAATTACCATCCCTTTTTGAATGTCTACAAGCATTGTTGTTCAGTTGAGCAGATGAACTATCCTTCAATTGACTCATCAATCACCATGCATGGTACAATTGACATTTTTTTTTTATCGAGGTGAATCATGTTAATACCCAACACGAGAAAGAAGTTGTCCGGTACGTCTTTCCACAGCAGTTTCAGCTAGCCGTAACTTTTTATGAGGTGATTTGCAAAGACCTTATAGTTGCAGTTGCAGCAACTTCAAACAACTTTTAGAAAGTTGCCCGAACTTGCTTCAAGGGAGTGCATCTTCATAATACAGATCACAGTTAAGGAACTAACTAACTTTTTCCTGTTTAAATTACCAATTAATTTTGGATTACTAACGCTCATTTAAGGTCTTTGAAAATGTTTATTTTTTTATTTACCGGTTTTTCTATTAAATTACGTTTTTCACTTGTCCTATTTTTTTTATTACCAGCCATAATTTACAATTAAATTATCTACTAATTTTACAATACTATCGTTTACACTAACTTAGTTACCAACATTTTCGTATTTTTCCAAATTACCATCTTCTCTTATTTATGACAAAATAAACTTATCTTGGTATTTACCAACTTTTAGTTGTCTTTCTTATCAACATCTTAAATTTACCAACTATCACATGAAATTGCCAACCTTTATTTGTTGACATGCCAACTTATTCCCTATTCGGTTACTAATAAGAAAGTTGGTAAATAAAAAAATAACCGTCGGTAACTAACTCAAATGAGGGTTTGGTAATCCATAAACGTAACTTAATTGGAGAAAATTGATAAATCAATTAAATTTAAGTTAGCAATTTCGTATAAGAGTTGGTGAATTAATGGTGTAATTAAGAAAGGTAAATAAAAGTTGTTAAAATATAAGAAAAGCCGGTAATTGAAAGAAAAATAAACTTGACAAGTAACTCAAATGAGAGTTGGTGACCCAATACTAGTGGGTAATTTAATCAAAGAAAAGTTAGTAAGTAGTTCTAATCAAGGTTGATAATAAGGCGGTACAAAGAAGTACCATAAAAATTTGTAAACATTAAGAACAATTGGCATTTTAAAGAAACACCAAATAAATGTCGATAAGTAGCTCAAATGAGAATTGGTAACTCAATAATATGTGGTAGTCTAATGGGAAAAAGGTTGGCGAGTAACACTAATGTAGGTTGGTAATCTATAAAAAGAGTATTTAATGTAAGGGGTTGCTAAACAAGACAAATAAAAATTAATAACTCTATTTCATTTAGACTGGTAATCCCAAATAAGAGTTAGTTTTTTCGGAGCTTTGATAATTTTCACAAAAGTGTAGGTAATTATTGACAAGTTACTTTAAAAAAAAATCACCGATCAATTAATTTACGAGCAGTTTATTTTTTTCCTTTTACATTTACCAATTGGAATTTACCAAGGCGCAAAACAAAATCCGTACTTTTGGACAGTGCACAATAGAATTCTACATGGAAAGGAAGCATTAAAGGTGTTATGTTGCTTGAAATGAGTACCTAAGTAAGGCATTTAGGCATTTAGATCCTCCCAACTTCTTTTGGCGGCCCTTTAAATGGATGATGCGTCATTAATGAAATAATTGAGGTCCACATTTAGACACATCTTCAAATAATTATATTTCACTCAAAGTACCCTCACACTTATAAAATTTTCTAATCCACCCAAACCCTAGAAATTCTTAACCGCTCTCTTTATTGCGTGCGGTGGCGGTGGCAGTGGCAGTGGCGGTGGCGGTGGCGGTGGCAATGACGATGTGGAGTGGTTGCACCTTGAAAGAGTAGTGCATAATGATGGAATAAGTGACTCGTTCCCTCCTCCCTCCTATAAATGAAACTTCTCAATAATCTCAATCATAAGCAAAGCTCGATAGTCGTTCATCCTCATCTTGCAATCGATCATAGTCGGTTGACTTTGATTTGAGGTTGAGGACCTCTATTTAGAGACCTACGGTAATAGTTGACCTTTGGAAATAGGTGAATCGTGCCTATTGATATTCACAATGACTAAAATTGAGAAGTTAGAGATTGATTTAAGCTCGAGACTATACAGATAAACAGACAACATGTGCAAGTGCTCGCAACACATACTTAGAGAGATAGAGAAAGCTATGCTGATAACTCTAGCTTTAGTAGCGGCTTTGACCGAAGGCTACGGTAGCGAGAGTCTAGCGATCATGGGTGGACATGTTATCCATATCATAATATGCACATCTTAAACTGGATCCTTGTCCGGCAAATATGGTAGCGATACTCATGATCAAAACAAGACAATAGGGTTGTTCAGCTTAATTGTGGTCATTACTAAGTCACAAAAAACAAATGTGTCACATAAAATACAAAATAAGTAAGAATATATAATTTGAATCCCTAAATCGAGATGATGTCGATCCCTAAATAAGTATACATACATATGATCTACTTTATCCAACAGAAACTACGTAATGTACTTCGATTTCCAAGATGTCCTCCACTCATTTTGAAGACCCGGTGGGAATGTGGATGAGGTGCTCATTGGGCAACTTGTTTGGAAAACAAGAAACGAGTTCCAAGGAAGCAGATAAAAAAACTCCCTCGTGCGCACACAAACTAAAATAAATTCCTAAAATAAACAGATAAATAAAGAGAGAAGTATAAGAAAAGTCAAAATGTCAAAGTTTGTAGCCCCAATTCATAATTACTCACAAGCCCAAGTGCTCTTTTAATTAAATCACTTAAACCAAAGCTCCTCATTGCGGCTTGTTTTTCTCTCTCCCCCTTTTTCTCCATTTTCAAACCTACCTAAGCTTCTATAAAAACCCTCCTTCTCTATCCTTCCTCTACAAAATTCTCTTTCCCTCTCTCTCTATCTGGTCCTTTCTGAGAAATTACCAAAGCTATACCCTCTTCTCTCTCTCTCTCCCTCTCTCTCTCTATCTGGTCCTTTCTGAGAAATTACCAAAGCTATACCCTCTTCTCTCTCTCTCTCTCTCTCTCTCTCTCTCTCTCTGGTTGAATCAACTTGTTCCTCCATTGAAGGGACAGAAGAGAAGGATGGATGTTCGAGGGCGATCGCGCTGCGATTCCAACGTTCACAGCGAAGAAGACGCGGTGGATCTGAAAAGAGGTCCGTGGACCGTCGAAGAAGACCTTGCGCTCATGAATTACGTCGCTAACCACGGCGAAGGCCGCTGGAACTCCCTCGCCCGCTCTGCAGGTCGGTTATATCTCCTCCTTTCTCTCGACCATCTAATTAGAACTCCCACGATTTCACAGGACCTCGAAACTCGTGGCGTGAAAGTGTGAATCCTTGATATACTTCGATCTTGCCCTAAGCTGAATTTGTTCTTAGGACGTTGATAAATATTGTTTCGTTTGATGACTTTCACACATTAATTAGTTTTCCTCTCTCCTTTCTCTCCAGTTATGTCGGAATATATTTATGTATAGGATCATGATCTATCATCATGAGTTGCACCTGGGAAGCTTAGAATAGAACGTGAAGCAAATGAAAGAGAAAGCTACACGTTTTCTCTGGAAATAAAAGGAAAGTTCAACAAAGAAACTTTGATGGTCATGTGCATATGAGAGAGAGACAGAGAGAGAGAGGGAGACCCTGTTGAGTTTCATATTTTCCCTGGAAAGTTAGATGATATTGATATATAGCAACTTGATGGTATTCTATCTCTTCCCATTTATAGAAAAGGACATACCCACTCGAGAACTGATCCTTTAAAGTTTTATTGTGATAGCAATACTCACTAACCCCCAAAGTTGCATGAGAAAATGATATCTCTCTCTCTCTCTCTCTCTCTCTCTCTCTCTCTCTCTCTCTCTCTCTCTCTCTCTCTCTCTTCTGCCGATTCTCATCGCGAGCAACTTTACCAAAACAATTTAAGCTCCTTAGTTTCTGATACAAACATTGTTTTGAATCGAAACAGGTCTGAGACGGACGGGAAAGAGCTGCAGATTAAGGTGGCTGAACTATCTCCGGCCGGATGTTCGACGCGGAAACATAACCCTGGAAGAACAATTGTTGATTCTCGATCTCCATTCCCGCTGGGGAAATCGGTATGCTTTTTTTCCGTCTGTCTCGAGATCCCCGGGTTATGGATTCTTCCATGACATGTGATTCTCTCAGAAAAGCATGCTTGGCCGTTTCTTCTGTGATCTAATTTTCTTCGAAATCATTCGAACAAGAGATTATATTGCTTCCACTGGGTCTCATAAACTTCACTTTAAGATCGTGTTAACATGAAAATCATGATTTACCCAAAAATGAAGATGAATTGCATATCGCGTCAATCTGTGGCTATTGAAGTTTTTCACGATTAGGGGTTACCTTAGTAGATTGGTTTTGTTACTCCATCATGTGTAATTCTTTTTTTTGTCCGATGAGTTCCATTTAGTAAAATTTTAACATTGAATTATTACAGATGGTCAAAAATCGCACAATACTTGCCGGGTCGAACTGACAATGAGATCAAGAATTATTGGAGAACCCGGGTCCAAAAGCACGCAAAGCAACTTAAATGTGACGTGAATAGCAAGCAATTCAAGGACACCATGCGATATTTGTGGATGCCTAGATTGGTGGAAAGAATACAAGCCGCTGCTGCCGCCTCCACATCTGCCTCAGCTTCCGCCACCGCTGCCGCTGCTGCTTACAAAGCGAACAACAGCAGCAGCAGCAACAACACCAGCAGCAGCTGCAACAACAACAACGACAATGGCACCAACTATAGACCAATCAATGGTAACCTTGAACATCTAGTCTTGCCAGACATTTCAACCATGAACAACGAATTCACGAGTGCTCGACTCATGCAAAGTTATTATACCCCGGAGAATTCTAGCACGGCAGCATCATCTGACTCACTCGGAACTCAAGTCTCACCGTTTTCCGACGTGGCCGATCCTTATAGTATCTCAGTTTATGAGATCCCTAATCAGGGTTATGTCCAAGCTAACCAAGCTGCCTACCAGGAGTCTTCACTCTTTAGTCCTTCGAGCAATTCCCTCAACTACGGATCGGAATTTTTCCAAGCCATGGATCAGAATAATCAGCTTTGGTTGGACGGTGGGGACTTTTCCAACAACTTGTGGAACGCCGAGAATGTTCTGTACTTGCAGCAACAGCTTAACTCCATTTAACAGAGAGAGTTTGTCAGTGATGGTGTCTGTGTAAAAACGACAGTTAACATAAGGAGAGATGGAGGAGAGGATGACAGATAGAATAATCTACGCCAGGCTTTTAGGATTTGCCACGAACAGGGTCCTGATTGAGGATCTTGTTTGCTTGTTTGTTTATGTGGGGAAGCATGTCTGGATTAGGGTTTCTCTATATCAATCGAATCATTTGTATGCAAATTCTCTTTATACTTTATGTGTCCCACTAATTGCATCTTTGGGAGCATGTTTGGGAATGATTTCTATAATGTTGAGAGGTGAATAATTGGTTCCACCATCTTTCACTCAAGCACTTCATTAAGAGCTAATGCTTGATATTTTAATTAAAGCATATGCAAACTTTATAAAGAAACACATATGTCCATGGGGCCTGAGCCAGGCTAAAGTCCCCATCTTCTAGATTGCTAAAAAGCTTAGTGGCAATGATTTTGCAGACGTGGCATTGCATTATTCATCAACTTATGTTTTATCGTGGTGAGCTAGCCATTGGGAACTCCTTTAAATAACAATAATGATGATGGAAAGGCAAAATGGCTATCACGCTTGCGGACAGTGGACGTACTTCGCAACCAAAACCCTAGTTTGTCGTTTGCTGATTGCAGTACGGAAAGGGTGACTGGAGCCCATTAATGGGACAAAGAACACTGTGGGTGATAGCGTTTTCAATCGACTTTTGGGACGAAGAGAAGGATACTTTTGTCATGTAGAGGAAAGGAAAGAAACAAGAAGAAATAAACTTGGGCAAATCGGCTCACTACTCATGTTCATCCCGGCGAGGGTCGTCGCCTGTCCTCGCTTATCGCAGGATGGCGATTGGCCGAGGAAGAAGGGAAAATCAAAGGAAAAAAAGAGAAGGAAAGGAAAAGAAAAAGAAAAAAAGTGTAAAAAGAATTGTAAAAAAAATTTCACGATAGCGCCGGTTGTTAGGACGGTCAGCATCCACGTTAGTGACTACCAGCCAAAATAGGAAGGACTACATTGACAAATCGTCAAAATATTTAAGATTAAATTGATCAAATTGAAAGGTTTGAAATGAACTGGCATCCGTACAATGAGTTTATGACTTTTTTTTTGTAATTATCCCTTTATATATTAACCCCATTCCAAGAACCTAGAGATTCACTAAATTGACATGTATATCTACATACCGGTGGCATCAATCTTGATACGTTAGTAAGGAATGATCCTTAACCACCTAAGTTCAAAGAAGTCGGGACATGAGAGGGGCATATGTATTTCCGCCAACATTTTCTCTTAAGAAGACAAACGTCCTAGAGGAATGGAGGACTCACGTAGAGTTGGCCGGACACATGACTATAGTCGACTATTTGTCAACAATGTTCATCACATTTATCTAAGGCTCCGTTTCTTCAGCGGAAAATGAACAATTTGAAAAATATTTTCCTAAAATTGATCGCTTAAATTGCTTGAAAAGATGAATTAACAAAAAAAATATTTTCATCGTCCACGACAATATCCAAATATAAATTATTATCGATAATTAAAATATTTTCGTTTCACGTGAATTACATGGATGGAAAAGCTTTGAATACCAAACGAGGCCTTTCATTTAATAATCAAAACGTGAAGAATAGATACCACAGCGTTCTCATGAAATGTCAAAATATCGAATTACTCTTTTATCTATCACGTGCTCCGACTTGCAGCGGCGCTTCTTCTTCTAGAGAGAGAATGACGGCGGTCGGAGGACGCGTGCCTCGTTCCGAGAGACGCCTCCGGAGGTGGTCCCGAAGGTGTCAGGTCGCTGAGGGTCCGCCACGTCGGACGTCGTGCCGAGAAGCGGTCAAATCTCGAGTCGCAATCTGGCGGAAGCTAGAAGCTTTTGAGTCATTGAAATGGCGCTCCTCGTGTCGTGGAACGCCACGCACGACTTTGCTTCGGACGGTACGCACCCAGTTTTGCGTAGAGACCACCTCAAAGAGCTGCAAACAGGGTGAGAAATTCTTCTGTGTTTTGCACAGCTGGACTCCACCATGCGTTCGTTGATCCTCAAAGCTCTTCTCTTCGGGAAAAGAAAGAAAAAATTAGGTACATCCGACGCACGCGGACTTCACGGCCGACCCTCCTTCTCTCTCTCTCTCTCTGATCTCGGCGAGGGATGTCGTGGCCGTCACGACCTCATATTAAGGTCATAATGCAATGCTAGCTTCGACTTTGATAGAAAGTTCAACCCAAGAGTTTAGATTTTTAGAACAATCGGCATATGTTTCGCAAAATTTTATGTGGAATTAGAACAGATTCTGAATTCAAATCTTCCAAATCTCTATTTGCCTTCCCAGTTGCATATTTTCACACTTTAGACTAAGACCAAAGTCCAACCTGAGGAGCTTTGGAATATTTAAATAATCAATCATGCATTCATCTAATAAATTAAAGTTTTACAATAATTGGCGGTGGTCTCACAAAATCCCACGTATTTTCAGAGTCACCGAAAGAGAAGGAATCAAAACAAACCCTAGCCTTCTCTTCCTTTATGCCTTCGTTAGTCATCTCATCTTCGGTAACTCTAGGTAGTTGTGAGTGCCGGAGTCAAGCATACTTGCATCGAGTAGCTAAAGATGAGCAACGCGGGGGGATGCAGTTTAGTTTGCTGCAATTCAAGTTAGCTTTCCACACGATTCTATCAAGGCTATATGAGAATAATGTGTCGACTTTATAATCATATGTTTCTTCAATGCTTGTCAAATCGGGTTATTTAGTTTGAGGGAGAGTGATGAAATATATTTATGGAGATTAGAGATTTCCTTATTAGAAAATATTCTTAGAGATATTATTAAATATTAAGGATATTATTTAGGGGTGTGCAACCGGATCGGATTTACCCGAAAACCGGACCAGCCCACCCGAAAAATAGGTTCGAGAACCAGTTCCCGTTTGAATCGGTCTGGGAACCGGTTAGAACTGGTCCGATTTCTGGTTCTAAGTGAAAACCCACCCGGACCGGTTTTAGAATCGGTTTTATATAAAGGTCCACTTGCAATTTTATATGGCCAGAATTCAAAGCATTATATCAAAAAGGATGAGGAAGGTGATCATTATTTGCAGATAGTCTAACTCAAGGGCTTGTAAGCATTATATAGAGCAATTTCCTTTTTTTTTAAATTTTTGTTCTGTAACGAAGAAACTACATATCCAACTAAAACCTATGCTATTTTATTACGTCCATTAAATTATTGGGATTAAGATAATATGCTTTTGTATGAATACTTAAGATTGTTTGCATAATCAAACTTATAACCTTTGATTTTTGTTATAAGTTTTCCTATTTGCTACCCGGAAAAAATGAAACCAAAAAGGAAAAAAAAAAAAAAGGTTCTTGGGTAGACCTTGAAATCGGACCGAAAAAACAGGGTAGGTTCCAAAACAGGGTCCAAGGCAAATAGGGTAGGTTTTAGATTCCAAAAACTAGAAATCGGTTATAGCAGGATCGGTTTCAGGTTTCAAGTTTAGAACCAACCCACCCTAGAACTGATCACCCCTAATATTATTCGATATTTTGTTATTTGCTTAGATAGCCGATTTCCTTATTATATTAGACTATTTCCTTTCCTATGCATATTGGTTGGTTTTAAATACCCTTCTATAATAAAGTGTAAAATAAAGTTAATTGAGTAAAAATGTAGTCTTTGTTCTATTCTCTCCCTATCTCTTGAAGATCCTAGAATATTTACAGACTTGATGTCTATTAGAAAGTCCAACCTAAATACTTAAGCTAATAGGTAGAGGAAGATCATATGTGTACAAAAAGCATATAAACCCCATAGTCAAGCGACGTGGGATATTTCAATAATACCAATGTGAGATTTTCCAAATCCGAAGGTCACCTCGATGGCCCTCTGGCAAGGAAGAGCTACTGAGCTCAACAACGACCAAAAGGGGCACCTAAGGTGTGTGTGTGTATGTATGCATATATAAATAGAGGGAGAGAGAGAAGACTGACTATGGAGTTACGAGGGACGGAATGCCGCAGGGTGGTGGCATTGCCGGGGCGGCGATGACAAGGTGATCACGACGACGCTGGAGATGAGGACAAGAGACAAGTGGTGGCTAAGAATCGGTCGTTTAGATTAGGTTTTCCATTATGACTTAGAAAAGTGAAGGGTATTTTTGGAGGAGAAATGGCAATGGGTAGATAAGAAGAAAATACTAAGTGATGTTAGATGCAATTTGAAGTGTATGCACAATACCGAAAATTGCAAATGGAAAGTTTAGAATTGAGGATGCAAATCTAGTGGACCTAGTGGTATAGCTTCGAGACTAGAACTTTTGTTCTTGATTGGAAACACATTCACTATCGTGTGATGTCATGCAGGTGAGGACGGGAGGTTATCGACATGGCCTGCTCCACGGCCATTCCCTCTGCTGGTACCTGTTGAATGGGCGTGAGTTCTGGGTTAGTTCATCAAGATGCAAAGTCCAATATAGTTTAGATGATGACAAAATGGGTAATGCACACAATAAAGCTCTTTTCATCTATCAAGATACAACAACTGGACTTTGATCAATGAGAGCGAAGCCCCAAACATTGATCATACGAGGGCAGATCAAGAGGAGAATTCAAGATGGTATCAGAGCAATGCACCGATCAGAAGTGTGAAAACTGAATACCATTAAATAAAGTGCTACATCGTGGAAGCTGCCTCTAGAACTTAGGTACACCTCCAGAATCCTACTTGCCTACTATGGTACTACTTTAGGTCGGAAACGGCAAAAGATTCCAGTGCTTTAGCTGGGGAGGGAGGGTTGTGGAGGCGACGTGAGACCCTCCTTAAACCGAGTACTTCTTCTAAGAGGATTGGCCCACATAAATCGAGTCGGGTCATCACACGGGCACTCTTGTCCCAGCACCAACTTGAATAGCACCAACTTGAATAATTGGACGGATTAATCATATGCAACACATGGTGTACTTACATTTCTCTCTTTGTTACCTAGTGTTGACATATCAAAAGTTCCTTCTAGCTCTACCTCACGGTCGATCGCTTGCGTGAAGCTTTGGGTTGCAAGCGAGCCCCCACAGCCACATATCATCTGTTGGGGATAACAAAAGTAGGTAAGTGTCATTCATATGTCCATCAGCTCCAATGTCGCCTTATTTCCTGAAATGCATCGAAGACATTTCCAAGCCGCAACATATTCGGTATGGACTCATGATGGAG